GCAGAGCTCAGTCTGCGCGGAGCCCTCGCCGGGTGAAGATGGATTTTTTTTTTAAATTGCGTCGGTTAATATGGATTTTTATTTGGCCTTTTTTTGGGCTGAAAAAATAAAATTTTAGAAGAAAGAAAACATTGAATGGTAAGTTTATTTTTACAGGTACTTAGTTAAAGGTCCCCTTTCATTAGGGGGAATGTCCGAATCTACGAATTACCCGAAATTCGGGCTAATTTTAATTCAGACCGAAACGAATTGCACATGTCTATCTAACAGCTATCTGAGGAGTGGCCAGTGAAGTTATCACTAGGCTGTAACGTAAACACTGCATTTTCTCTGAAAAGAGTGTTTACAGCAAAAAGCCTGAAGGCAATGAACAAATTCAATAAGCTGTAGTTGTTCTTATGATTATAGTGTCACTTTAAACTTCATTACCCTATGTTTTTCTGGTTTCCTTTGTATTACATGATTACCCTTTGCATTGTATGTGGTAATTCATTTATTTTATTGTGCTCTCACCAATTTATACATTCTGTTTGATTTGCACTTTTGTATGTGTGGTGGAGTGACCCACGTAGGTGAGAGCAGCACAATTTTACATTGTGTTTTTACCAAATCCTTATTCACTGTTGTTTATTTTCTATCTACAATGGATGTTATGGAATTGCATTTGTCCAATGTTAAATGAATGACGACGTTTATTCTTTGGGTAACCTAAAATTTAGTGTGGAGTTTACTACAGTTTTTGAAGATTTCTGTTTTGTTTTTTTAATTCAAAGATAAAAAAAGAGGATGTTTAGAATTTTTGACTGAAGTAGCGATAGAGTAGACCAGGGGTAGACAACCTTTGGCACTACATCTCCCCTGAGGATTTTCCAGCATTATGGCTCTGATGGAAGATGATGTCCACAAAATCTGGAATGCCGAAGATTGCTTACCGTGGACTAGACTGACTTCTGGTTGGTGGGAGAAAATGATGCCTCTGTATTATTTATGTTACATTTGATATGTTTGTTTATGTGTATTTATGCTGCTATTAGAATTTTTTTTTAAAAATAAGCATAATACTTGCTCCCATGTCTTTAAAAAAAATTAAAAAAAAATAATCTTGACTTTCTGTCAGGACTTCAAAAATCTTTCGTTGATACATATTATTTCCTTTTTACTACCAGATTGTCTAACAAATTAAAATAATTGTTATGCGGATAGTTAACTTCAATTACAATCTCAGCTTTCATGCAGTTTTGCTAGGAGCATTGAACGTGGTTTTGTTCCATATTCCACTCTGTCTTGACATGTGTGCCACATAGGAAACATTAAAGAAACATAACAAGTCAGCTACATGGGTAACTTCCCTATGAATGAATTTTGGAGGTAAGGGATGCATTAGTTTAATTGTATATTCTGAGAAGGCATTATTTAAAGCTACAAGCAAATATTTATATATACATACTTTCCCTTTTAATAGACTGCACTTGATTTTCATTATTGTAATATAGTCTAGTAGTCTTGTAATACTATATAATAAACTAAACTGCACTAGATTGTTTTCTGATTAAAAACACCAGATCGTAAATCCTATGCAATACCAGCAGGGCCAAAATGCAAGTAGCATACAAGGAATATAAGAGATGGTCCACAGCCCCGATTAGCAAACCATGCCAGTAAAATCTGCAGGCCAATGGTAGACGGTAATTGGTAACGTCAGATAGTGTAAGAGCTTTAATGTTAATCATAATATTTTAGTAGGAATGCAAGAAACAGTGAGAGTCTGCAAGGGTAGGTAACCCAAGCATGATATACCACCCCTACAGTGTTGCCATAGTGTCTTAAAATACCAAGAATTACATATATTTACAAAATGAGAAACACAAAGCAATGGAGAGATCAGATGGGTTGTCAGTTAAAAAAATAAAAAATAAAAATTAATGAGCAAGTGGCCAGGCCAAGGAAAGAATCTGCCAATCACAAGACTATATAGTCATAACAAAAGTAAATCAAATCCAGAGACAGAGGTGAAAATCTCCAAGAACCACAGAGGAAGTCCAGAAAGGTATGGTAATACAACATAATGCCCAACACAGAGTTGGGCTTTTGTTGCAAAAAATAAATAAAAATAATAATAATTTGCACAAATATTAATCATAAAGACTTTCATTAGCTGCCCTCTCCCCTTATCAGCAGGCGGGGGGCTTTAAATAATAAAACAGGTGGGTCCCCTCCCCTTGTCCCACCTAAGGGAAGTGGGGGCTCTAATTATAATAGCCAAAACCACTGGTTTTGAATGGCAAATCTTAAAGGAAAAAAAATACAAGAAAAAGACTTCAGATGGTAAGCATAATTTATTTAGTTACAGGTATTTGTTTTAATTTCCACCCACAATTTTTCAGTCCTGAAACCATGAGATAGAGCCTTTATAATGACTGGGCAGCTATCATTAATTACAAACATTTAGTAGAATTGCCCCATCTGCCATCGGCTCACATTTAGTAGATATACCCCATCTGATATCTGTTAGAACTGCAAAAATTGTTCAGGAATGGTTTGAGGAACATGACAAAGTTGTCTTGGCCTCCAAATTCCCCAGATTGAGCATCTGTGTGATGTCCTGGAACAACAAAAATTTTATCCACAGAGACCCCACCTCTCAACTTGCAGGACTTAAAGAATCTGTCAGATACACAGGACAAGCGATGAAACAAAACTGGAACTCTTTGGTGAAATGGAGCAGTGGTATATCTGGAGGAAGAAGAATGAAGCATACACTGAAAAGAACACTCTGCCTCTAGCGGCTGGATTAACCCTATTATAAACATAGCAGTTTCTCTGAAACTGCTATGTTTATAGAAAAAAGGGATAATCCTAGCTGGACCTGGCACCCAGACCACTTCATTAAGCTGAAGTGGTCTGGGTGCCTATAGTGGTCCTTTAAGCATGGTGGTGGCTTGGTAAAACTCTATGGCTGCTTTGCATCTTCTGGCACTGGAAACCTGCAGCTTGTAGAAGGCAAGATAGATTCACTGAAGTATCAAGAAATCCTAGGAGAAAACACCATGTCATCAAGGAAGCTGAACCTTGGGCATCATTGGATCTCCCAACAAGACAATGATCCCAAGCATGCCTCAGATTCCACCAAGGCTTGGTTGATGAAGAAGTCCTGGAAAAGTCTACAGTGACCATCAGTCACCCGACTTGAACCCCATAAAATGGAATTTGGTGGAAATTGAAGAAGGCGGTTGCAGCATGCCAACTTAAGAATATTACTGAACTGGAGGCCGTTGCTCATAAGCAAAGGGGCAAGATTGCCCAGGAACGCTGCCAGAAACTTGTGTCTGGCTATGTATCTTGTTTGCAGCAGATCATAACAGCAAAAGAGTGCTATAACAAGTACTAAAATGCATGCCATCAGGGGTTGAATAATTTTGAAACTGGAAAAGTCTTAAGTTGCATTTTCAGTTGAATTTAAGGGAAACTACTTGAAGCATTTGTTGTGTTGAGCTATTTCAATTGCTTTTGTTTGATTTGTTCATTGCAAAACAGATAAAAGTCTGTAAATTGTGACAATAAATCGGATTTCCAATGGGGATTAAATCATTTTCATTACAATTGTGTTTACATACGCTTACACATACAGATATTTATATAGAATATATATTCTTTTCTATATAGTGTTTGTATAAATATTTGTATTTATTGTGTCTATATTAGGGTTATTCATTAAAGGAACATTGCAAACACCATAACTACAACAGTGCACCCTTTATTTTAAAAAAGGTTTGACTTTTTACCTGGGGTCTGCCAGGAACCGCTCCCCTCCTTCACGGCTACCTATGCAGAATTGGAAGCTGTCTGAGCTAATCCTGACTAACAGATGCTTGTCCCATAGGAGGTAGTGTAAGTGACAGTACATCTCTTGAGTACTGTGTGAACTTTTCATATTCATCCTGTCTCTCACACACACTTTTTTTTCTGCCACATGCTTTGTGTGCAACTGGCTGCGGAAAATAGACCACACAAAGCCTCTGATGTGACCTGTCCCTCCTCAAATTTCCTAGCAAGGAGCTAGTTGTGGGAGAGCATGTAGAACTCCTTCCCTCAAAGTGCCATCATGACAGGCAATCCCCGCTAAGCAAGCCACGAACCAGTCAGTGTATCTCTTAAGGAGAGTACTGTCACGGGTGGCGGTATAGAGACCCGAGTACCTGATGATGAATATGGGAGTCTCAGGTTGGAAAGGACTATAAGGGCCTGGTGCAGGGTAACCACACGCCCCCTGGTGTTCAGCACCAGCTTTTGTACGGCCACATACCAGGGCCCTGATGCAGCTAAAGATGAAGCCAGGAGCAGATGATATATGGATATGGATAGGGAGGCTCTGCAGCAGATATGTATCCAGTACAGAAACAAGGCAAGACTAGAACAGGCACCTAACAAGAAAACAAGACAAGACTAGAAGAACCCAGAACTGGAGCAGGACAGAAAGCAGAACCAAGAACTTGGACACAAGACATGAGGGAAACATGAACAGAGCAGGACTGTACATGAACTGGGAAGACAAAATAAAACAAGACAAGACGAGACAAAACTAAGTACTATATATGTAAAACATTGGAGATTTAGACATACATAAATGGCCAAGATGTATGTGGCCCACCACTGCGCCAAAGTACTCCAATTATGGTGGTGTCACGGCTTACCTTAGTTGTGAGTCCGGTAGGCAGAGATATATGCTCACCCTTGCAATTAAACACAGGCCAAGGTGGTCAGGTAAGAATTCACCTGGCCTGTGAGTCTGTGCACGGGGGCTGTGCAGGATATTGCTCCAAGTCGCAGTACACGTAAGGACACAAACAGTAGAATCGTCAAGGGTAAGCCAAAAGTCAGATGGTGCCAGAAGTCAGGATACACGATACAAAAGCCAAGGTCAGGAGTAGTGATGTCGCGAACCGTTCGCGAACTTGCCGCGAATGGTTCGCTGCGAACCGTTCGCGTCGAACTCTAGTCAGCTGACACATCCCTGCCAATCTCCGGCAGACCCTCCCTCCCAGACCCTCCTACTTCCTGGACAGCATCCATGTTGAAGGCAGCTTCAACATGGATGCTGTCCAGGAGGTGGGAGGGTCTGGGAGGGAGGGTCTGCCGGAGATTGGCAGGGATGTGTCAGCTGACTGGAGTTCGCCACGAACGGTTCGTAGCGAACCGTGGCAAACCGTTCGCGGCAAGTTCGCGAACGGTTCGCAACATCACTAGTCAGGAGCCAACTGGAGAACACTGGATTACAAATACAAATACAGGAACCAGAGTCAATAAACTGACACTGCCCTCAGGGAGAGAGAGTGTCTTATACCTGGCTAATTAGTGAGCAGCTACAGGTGGACCATGAGTAACAGGAGCAGTCACAGGTAAAGTCCAGCCCCCAGTGCTGGAGACATGGCAAGGATAAGCTCTAGGCCAAAACAAGAACTGAAGTGGCTCAGAGGCAGGAATGCAGGCTTGGGATGCATAAGACCTCAGGTTCAAATCCCCTGTTGGATACTTCTGGGGTGACCATGCCTGGCTGTCTAGATGTCATTGTGAGAGCCGTGAGGGTAACCCCCCCCTTTTAAGAACAGGTTCTTTGTAGAGGCAGTATTCCTCACTGTCGGAGTCCACATCTGTAGAATAACCCTTGATTTCAGAGTGCCCAGATAGGGGTTCCTTCACAGTAAGCAGTCCCATTGTACCAGCTTCTGGTACCGCTGGAGAGTTGTCATGGTCTTTGAGGATCCGGGAGCAGGTAGTAAGTGTTGCAATTCCAGAAGGCACATCCTCTGACCTTTTCTCCTTAGAAACGTCACCAGGAGCGGAGTTCGTGGCTTTCAATGATTTTTTTTTGAACATATCCAGATCTGCTGCATAATTTGGTACCATTAGAGGCATAGGTACAATCTGCAAGTAGATCTGCTTTGAGCAGACAAGAAGTGGTGATGGTACCAGCTTTATCAGGAGTGTCTTCAGGAGGAGGTGCAGACTTCTTTGTAGCAGAAGATGTAGAGTTTCTCAGGGGGGTCAAGAATGATGTGCAGCATACACAAGACGAAGAAAGATGGTAGCCAATCGGAGAGCTGGAGGCCTTGGAGGACAAAGCTAGCAAAGTGTGATAAAATGCACTTTTTCTCCACAGTAGAAAAATAGGCCATGGCTTCTCCTCCAGTCTCTTTCTTCACGCGTCACTTTGCAGTGGACAAATCCTATTTCCTCAGGGTTGAGAGGAACATAGGATACCTCTGGAGTCTTCTTAGGAACCGGATCATAAGGAGGCAACACAGGGGTGTAGTGTTGGTACTGGTTCCCCGTTTCTGGGAACCTGGAATCCTCTGGGATGTGGTGCAGGCTTTGGTACAGCAGTCTTGCACTGTGAGTCCATAGCGGTCACAAAGAATTCCCAACTGTCAAGGACAGGACTTTTAGACTGTAGCATTTGGTGTGCCCATGTTTTAATCTTTCCAGACAGCAGGTTGATAGCTGCTCGGACCCTTACGAAGTCGTTAACATATGTCCGAGGCTTCAGGGCATATAATAATTCACAATCTACCCTAAAGTACAGGAAGGATGTACGGCTACCATCAAATTTTTCAGGCACAACGTAAGGCTCAGAATATGCAGGTTCCGGGACTGGGCGTACAGTGCCTTTAAGAATCCGAACTTCTTGCTGCAGCTCCGAAACAGTCTGGGCCAGGTTGGATACTTGCTGGGTAAGCAATGTGAATATCTCTGCGGACTCCATGATGGTCAGTTCATTCTGTCACGGCTTACCTTAGTTGTGAGTCCGGTAGGCAGAGATATATGCTCACTCTTGCAATTAAACACAGGCCAAGGTGGTCAGGTAAGAATTCACCTGGCCTGTGAGGCTGTGCAGGATAATGCTCCAAGTCGCAGTACAGGTAAGGACACAAACAGGGGAATAGTTGAGGGTAAGCCAAAAGTCAGAGGGTGCCAGAAGTCAGGCTAAACAAAGGTAAGCCAAAGTCAGAGGATGCAAGAAGTCAGGCTAAACAAAGGTAAGCCAAAGTCAGAGGATGCCAGAAGTCAGGATGCATGATACAAAAGCCAAGGTCAGGAGCCAACTGGAGAACACTGATCACAACTACAAACACAGGAACCAGAGTCAATGAACGGACACTGCCCTCAGGGAGAGGCAAACTCAGGTGGACCATGAGTAACAGAAGCAATCACAGGTAAAGTCTGGCCCCCAGTGCTGGAGACATGGCAAGGATAAGCTCCAGGCCAAAACAAGAACTGAAGTGGCTCAGAGGCAGGTTCAAATCCCCTGCTGGATACTTCTTGGGTGACTACGCCTGGCTGTCTGGCAAGAACCATGACACGTGGGTCTTAACTGCCAAGATATGCAAGATAATGAGACCACTGCTTGCAGGACCAGACAAACAAAAAAGTATTAAATGGCAAAGGAACGGGTGTGGAAACAAAAAAACAAAACATTTAACCAGAAAAACTATACAAGAATTGTAAAAAGAGTACTAGATGCCAAGGCCAGACATCTCTGCTGAACAGGATGTGACAGGAACATTCCAATGCACAACTTGAAAATGCAATATCTATTTGTGAAATTAATGTATTATTTAAAAAATATATATTATTTATATATATATTTGTGGTTGTTAACATAAAAGCCGTGTAATAAAATGGAAAAAGTCTGTAGTGGTGTGCCGAAACCGACATAAGGGTATGCCTGTAATAAAAGAGGTTATATCTGGCCATTGATCGTTGTGGTGGGGTGTTGGCCTCTCGGTTACATTAAAAGATTAAAAAATGTGTGGCCCTGACTGGTGAGGCCCTAACTATAAACCCAAAAGGTGGATGATGCGAGGCTCTACCTGTGATGTGGACCGATTGGGCGAAACCTCCATGTTGAGGTAGGGAGTTGGCCTTGCAGGACCAACTACAAAATTTAAGACTAAGGCCAGCACCTGACCCTATCCAGCCAGTTCTCTGACCCTAAACGAGGGCTTGGTAAGAAAAAAATAGATGTAGAAGGGTAACTTATTATTATTATCGCCTTTTATATAGCGCCAACAGATTCTGTAACACTTTACAATATTATTAACTATAAATAAGACAACTACAAGAAAACTTATAGGAATGATGGGTTGAAGAGGACCCTGTTTAAATGAGCTTACTGTCTATAGGAGGTGGGGTATAAAATACATTAGGACAGGAAATATCAATCAAATAAGGTGAGAGTGAAGCAGAGCTGGAGGAGAGAGTAGAGTGCTGCCCTTGTAGGAGAGAGCAAGAGACAGGTATGTGAGGTAGAGTTTAGCCTGGGAGGCCATAAGCTTTCCTAAAGAAATGGGTTTTAAGGCATTTCTTAAAAGATTGAAGACTAGGGGACAGTCTGATGGCGGTAGGCAGGCTATTCCATGGGAAGGGAGCCGCCCGCGAGAAGTCCTGCAAGCGCGAGTTGGCCGCAAGGGTGTGAGCAGCGGACAGGAGAAGGTCACAGGCAGAGCGGAGAGACCGAGAAGGAGCATACCTATGGATCTGTGAGGAGATATAAGAGGGGCTAGAATTGTTCAGTGCTTTATAGTTATGGGTTAGCACTTCGAATTGACTCCTATAGGATACAGGAAGCCAATGTAAGGACTGACAGAAGGGTGAGGTGTGAGAGTACCGACTAGAGAGGAAAATCAGTCTGGCGGCAGCATTCATTACAGTCTATAGTGGAGCAGTACGGCTATTGGCAAGACCAATTAGGAGAGTTACAATAGTCCATGCAAGAGATTACTAGAGCATGGACAAGCTCTTTAGTAGCCTTGTGTAAGAAAGGGTGGAATTGGCAGTATTTGACAACAGACTGGATGTGAGGCTCAAAGGTGAGGCTCGAATCAAAAGTAACACCAAGACAATGTGCTTGTAAGGATGGGCTGATATGGGTACCACCAATCTGAAGGGAGTGAGAGAGGAGGATTAATATTAGGGGGAGGAAGACAAGAAGTTCTGTTTTGGAAAGATTGAGTTTTAGAAAAAGGGAGGATATCCAACCAGAGATAGAATAAAGGCAAGACACCAACATACAGGTGTTATTGGAATCCAAATGAGGTAATAAGTTTGCCAAGAGAGGCAGTGTAAAGAGAAAATAGAAGGGGACCAAGGACAGAGCCTTGGGGGACTCCAATTGAGACAGGACGAAGGGTGGAGGTATCAGTAGAAAAGGAGACACTGAATGAGCGTTGGGTGAGATAGGATAGAAAACCATGAGAGGACAGAGTCACAGAGACCGAGTGATTGAAGAGTTTGGAGATGGAGAACATGATCAACGGTGTCAAAGGCAGCAGAGAGGTCAAGAAGAATTAGTATGGAGTACTGGCCTTTGGATTTAGCTGTGTTAATGTTGTTAGTAACTTTAATAAGGGCAGTCTCAGTAGAGTGGAGGGGGTGGAAGCTGGACTGAAGAGGGTCAAGGAGAGAATTGGAGGATGGGTCAAAATTAGTTGTTTTTTTTAAGATGGGAACTACAGTAGCATGTTTAAGGAAAACAGATCTGATAAGGTGAGATGGGACAGGATCAAGTGCGCAAGTGGTGGGGTGGGAGGAAAAGATAAGTGCCTCCACCTCTTGTTCAGTAGCCTGGGAGAAGGTTGGAAGGGTTGGAGAGGCATGATCCAGGTGGTTGAGAAAGTGAGGGGCAAGGTGGTGAGAATTCTTTCCTTAGCTGTTCAATCTGGTCAGTGAAGTAGCATGCAAAACTATCAGCTGTAAGGTTAGTTTGGGGGGCTGGCCGCAGCAGGACAAAGAGAGTTAAAGGTATCAAAGAGACGCCTGTGATTGCAAGAGCATGAGCTAATAAGAGAAGAAAAGTATGACTGTTTGGCAATGGCAATGGCAATGGCTGAGCTGTATGAACACCAGATGAATTTGTAGTGTAGAAAGTCTGACTCGGTGTGAGGCTTCCTCCAGCAGTGTTCAGCAGAACGGGAACATCTCTGCAGGTAGCGTGGTGATTTAGTGTGCCACAGTTGGGGCCGTATCCTTCTCGAGGTATTTGGAGAGGGGCTGTAGCATCCAGGGATGAGGGTAGAGTTATATGAGGAGATAGCCAATGAGGGACATGAGTAAGCAGGAATGGATAATATTTGGGAATCAATATCAGTTGACAGCTGCTGGAGGTTTTTAGAACTCAGATTCCTTCTGAGTTCAGGGGGGGTTAGCCTGAGGTTTTGGGGGGAGGGCAATTGAGAGCAAATGATAGGAGATAATGATCTGAGAGAGGAAATGGAGTGTTGCAAAGGTTAGAGACTGTACATTTATGAGTGAAAATAAGGTCTAGAGTATTGCCCGCTACATGGGTGGGGGAATTAGCCCACTGTGATAGTCCAAGGGAGGAGGTAATAGAAAGTAGTTTTGAGGCTGCTGGGGTCAAGGGTGGGTTAATGGGAATGTTGAATTCCCCGAGAATTACAGATGGAATGTTAGAGGAGAGGAAGTAAGGAAGCCAGGCAGCAAAGTGGTCAAGGAAGAGAAGTGGGGAACTAGGGGGACGATAAATAACAGCTATGTTAGCAGTGATGGGTTTGAAAAGGCGGATTGAATGAATCTCAAATGATAAGAGAGGGAAGGGGGCATGGGTAGAGGTTTGAAGGAGCAGTGAGCTGAGAGCAGTAACTCTACACCACCACCTTTATTTTCAGAGTTTCTTGGGTTGTGAGAAAATTGAAGACCACCAAAGGATAAAGGGGCAGGGGTAGCAGTGTCAGAGGAAGAGAGCCATGTTTCAGTTATTAATGCTAGTAATTGTTGGGAACGAGAGATGAAAGAATTGTAAATTCTTGAAAAACGAGGTATTAGATGATACCTAGAAAAGTAAAATAAGCATTCTCTAATTTCTATAGTGGGAGAATTTAATTAAAGGGAAACTCCAGTGCCAGGAAAACAGTCAGTTTTCCTGGCACTGCAGGTCCCCTCTCCCTCCCACCACCCATCCCGCTGATCCCGCCCGCCGGCTGAGGAAACCTAATGCGCATGCGCGGCAATGCCGAGCACACGCATTAGAGTTCTCCATAGGAAAGCATTGAAAATGCTTTTCAATGCTTTCCTATGAGGAATTGAGCGACGCTGGAGGTCCTCACACATTGTTTTTCTGTGCTATGATGCAGGAAGTGCCCTCTAGTGGCTGTCTACTAGACAGCCACTAGAGGTGGAGTTAACCCTGCAAGGTAATTATTGCAGTTTATAAAAAACTGCAATAATTACACTAGCAGGGTTAAGGATAGTGGGAGTTGGCACCCAGACCACTCCAATGGGCAGAAGTGGTCTGGGTGCCTACAATGTCCCTTTAAGCAGTGCAGACAATTTCTATTATGTGACAGATGTCTGAGAACCAAAAAGGAAGGAAAGACAGGACCTACATATATAAAAATATAACTAGAAATGTACCAGACACAGTTGAACTACACGCATAAGGACGAAATCTACTGCAATTCCAGGTGGATAGTATTACCAATTTTAGGAGGAACAGAGGAAAACTTAAATAATGCATATAACGTGATTTCCCAGAACCAAGAGAAGGACGACACCGTATCCATTCGTAAGATGCAAGATTAGCGGATAATTGAGACATGGATGTATTTTGGATTGATCGTGTAGCTAGCGCCGTGGCCTAATGAGGCAAAGCAAATAAATCAAACCCTTGTTCCCCCTTTTTTGGGACGTAATGTGGGCCGTACGGCGGCCAAGTGTAGTATTTGAGAGCCAAGTATAAGTGATATGAAATTACAGTTAAAATATATTGATAATACAGGAGATAAATAAACAGAAGAAACGGTATTAGAAAGGTCAGTTGATTCTTGCAATATCTGAAATTAATGGATGAAACACAGGAATGTTAATGTGACTGCGTCAACCTTGAAAGTGTTCTAAATGACCTAAAGCAATTCCTGTTATTTAATTCAACCATTTAAATGAAATTCTATATACATTTTTATTATCCCAACTGTTAAAGTACATGACATGTAGCCATAAAACATAACAATCATTTAATTTTTAAGAACCATCATGCTAAACTGAGAAGGGTATGAAACAGAGGGATAACCGAATTGAAACAAATTAATGAGACATTAAAGGACCACTATAGTGCCAGGAAAACATACTCGTTTTCCTGGCACTATAGTGCCCTGAGGGTGCCCCCACCCTCAGGGACCCCCTCCCGCCCG